CCGCCTGCCCCGGAAGTGACCACATGGCGCGGCAGACCTCTCCTGACCCGCCTGCTGCTCCCCTCAGCAGTGTACTTCGTCGATCTGCCTGTTCTAGTCCCCATTCTGTCTCTGGTGAATCCTCTTACCCTCCGCATCTCTGGCCTGTACCACAGTTCTCAATACTAAAACAGAACTATGGAATATAGTACCATTGTGGCGTAAGTTTAGCAGAAATTGCTAAATTGCTAATGTCACGAAGTTGATGGGGTCACTTTGTCTATATCCAAAGGTATGACTAATAGATCCTTATATTAAGAATTACTAAGATGTGTTACAGTATTTATCGTAAGACACTAATTACTATCACCAAAGTTATAAAATAATTAAAAAACTGGGGAAATATAGTACTGACCTAAATATCTTTGGGTGTAGAATCTTTTCACATAGCAATGGACAATATTAAAGGAATCCCATTCTATCTCCCATGTATTGTGACAGCATATATGCATCTTTCATAGTTTTACTTTTCTCCAGCTTTATTATCTTTATCAAAACAACACGTGCTAATGAATAGCACTTGTTACCTTCGGGGAACAATACACTAAGTATTTAGTCATTGTCTCATTTAATTGAACCTGAAGATAAATACTATTTTCTACAATGTATTGCTATTGTAAAGAGTATTTAAATTGTCAGAGTGACAGGAAATGTATGGTGCTAATTCATTGTCTAACAACTCTACAACTCTGCCTCTCTGATAAGTTAAATATCTATCTCTGAGGCTCTACCTGCAGAGGCTGGGGCGGAACACATAGGGCTTTGGACTAGTGACATTTTAAAAATAATTAAAAAATGTTGCTATAATTTGAGACGTAGGGACTAAGTCTCAGCGCTAAAGCTGCAGTGGCCAGAATTCAATCCTGCCCAGAGAGGTGACCCACACAGCGCAGCAGACCTCTCCTGACCCACCTGCTGCTCCCCTCAGCAGTGTTCTTCAATCAACCACCTGTTCTGCTCCCCACTGTCTCTAGCGAGTCCTCTCACCCCCTGCATCTATCACAGAAGCAGAAGGAAAAAAATCATGTGTGTAA